AAAGGGGAAAATAGGGGCTGGAGAGATGGCTCAGCGGTTAAGAACACTGGTTGTTCTTGCAGAAGACCTGGGTTTGAATCCCAGCACACACATGGCAGCTAACAACTGTCTGTAACTCCAATCCCAGGGCATCCAACAGTCTCTTCTGACCTCCACTGGTATTGCATGACATGGTGCACTTACCTACATGCAGGCAATACATTCATACACATAAAATAAAAATAATAAAAATTTTAAAAAAGAATAGGTAATCTAGGTAATTAGGCCAGGCATGGTGATATAGACTTTTTTGTCCTTTACCACTCGGGAGGACAGGCAGGCAGCTCTCTGTGAGTCAAGGCCAGTCTTGTCTATATAATGAGAGCCCCTGTCTTACCCTCTACCCCTTCCCTAAAGAATAAGCAATCGATAATTTCTGGGAAACAAAATTGGGCACCTGAGGAATGGGAGTAGAAGACATTTTTATATGATAACAAAAATAAGATACAGTATTTTTCCATCAACCATCATACGTAGATACACACATTCAGATGGCAGCTTTATAAAATTATAAGTGACCTGAGTTCTATCAATTAACATTTCCCCTAATTAATAGTACAAAATGAAAGGAGACACAAACACAAAGCAGAGTAGCAATAAAAGGAGAAAACTAAGCACCTTTTCCTTTCCATTTAACCTTTGCAACAGACTGGCTAAAATCCACATGTATTCTCCTGTCATCTATAAGTACATTGTCCATTTTGAAGAATGCTTTCTCACAGTCTTCTTCCTGTTAGTAATTATAAAAATTCAAGCATAAATATTTATGGGAAAGATTTCTGTAGCTAAAACAAATACTGAAAATACAAAAAGTTTGTTTTTACTTAAATTAATATTTGAATACTTCTTACACACTAGACATTATTAAATGCATTGCATCTACTATCTTAATTAATACTGATAACAACCCTAGGAGGCACCATCTATTATTATCTCCACTGTCACAATGAGAAATCAGAAGTTCAGTGAGGTACAGTAGTAGCCAAAGGTCACACCACTGGCAACAGTCAGAGCCATCATTTTTAATTGAGGCAGTCTTACTACAGTGGACATACATATACTTATTGTGTTATACAAGTCAATTCTAGTTACTCAAAAGTCCAAATTATTGTATCCTAAATAGTGAAAGCTGTTTCCATAAATTTGGTGTTGAAAGTAATCTGACAGGGGCTGGGGGTATAGCTCAGCAGTAGAACACTTACCATGGACAAAGCTCCACGGAACCCCCAGCACCAAAACAAAACCTTTGGCAATTTGGCAACAATACTGGACCTAATTGGGGGTGGGACGGCTATGGCTTTTTCAAAATCCACTTAGTATAAATATTCATTTGTGTCACTGAAGAAATTTTTTGTGACTGATTCTAGATTTCTGGCCTGGTGAGGTATTACATATACAACAAATGTAATGTTCATGTGCATATGTATCTACTTATATAGCACACCTTTCTAAAATCTGACAAATTCTAAATTCAGAAGCCTATCTATAAGGTCTGTGATACCAAGGTCTGTGCTACTTCACAAGAACCTTTATTTTATTACTTTTTTGAGAGAGTATTTCATGTAGCCCAGGCTGGCCTCAAACTCACTATATATGTATGATCCTGAACTCCTGATCCTTTTGCCTTGATCTCCCAAGTGCTGTCATTACCAACATGTGCCCCCATGCCTGGTTTTATGCAGTGCTGAAGATTGAACCCAGGACTTCATACATGTCAGGCAAGCAGTCTACCAACTGAACAACATCCTCAACCCACAAGAACAATTTCTATTAGTAACTTCAGGAATTCTAAATCTGTTTCTGACAGCTGAAGACTACAATAATACATTTCAATTATGTACTCATCAGTATTCTATATTCCTGGAAACTTATTCTTTAGTCTGTTCACAATTTGCTAGAGACAATTCAAGGAGAAACAAAAGAATTAATTATAACCTTATTTACTTTCCATGTGTGTCAAGAATTAAATAGAATTAAATAGATCATAAACTCTACAGCTTTTTAAAAAAATTTTTATTTTATGTTTATGCATGTATTGCCTGCATGTAGGTAAGTGCACCTGTGTCGTGCAATGTCTGTGGAGGACAGAAGAGGCTGTCAGATCCCCTGGAACTGGAGTTACTGACAGTTGTTAGCTGCCATGTGGGTGCTGGGATTTGAACCCGGGTCTTCTGCAAGAACAGTCAGTGTTCTTAACCACTGAGCCATCTCTCCAGCCCAACTCTACAGCTTTTAGAGCCATTGTCAGGCACATGGTAGGCAATCAATTTTATGTTTGATTAGCTTATTATTCATACTTGAGCAGGTATAATTCCATCATTGTGCCATCTCTCCAAAGAGAAATTTCCCAAATCATTTTTATAGAAGGATAATAGCTACAAATACTCAATTTACTCATACCTTAATAGTAAGAAATCTCTTCAAAACTGAAAAATGGATTCAAATACATACATACATACATACATACATATGTGTATATACATACACATATATATGGAAATGCAAAATAAAAACAGTCAAGACAGATTTCAAGAACAACAAAATTAGAGACTCACACTGTAAGATATCAAAACACTATAAATCTATAGTGAGTAACAGAATGTAAGAGAAGAACAAAAGTATAGCACTTAGAACCAGTGATACATATGAATGCCTACTTTAGAACAAAGATGGTCTCAAAGAGCTTTGGAAGGATGTTTCTAATAAGTGGTGCCCATCACACAGCTATCCAAAGTAAGACAACATATTATTAATTTGTGTTTATTAAAAGACACCAATAGAAAAGGAAAAGGGTAATGCACAGAACAGAAGGTATAGGTCTGCCATAAAATCAAAAAAGAGCTTATATCCAGAGCATATAAAGAAGTCTTATGAGGGGCTGGAGAGATGGCTCAGCAGTTAAGAACACTGCAGAAGACCCGGGTTCGAATCCCAGCATCCACATGGCAGCTAACAACTGTCTGTAACTCCAGTTCTAGTGGATCCGACAGCCTCTTCTGTCCTCTGCGAGCATTGCATGACACAGGTGCACCAACCTACATGCAGGCATAACACTCATACACATAAAATAAAATTAAAAAAAAAAAAGAATTCTTATGAGCCAGGTGTGGTGGCTCACACCTTTAATCCCAGCACTCAGGAGACAGGCAGGCGGATCTCTGAGTTCAGAGCCAGCCTGGTCTACATAGTAAGTTTCAGGCCCAGCTGGGCCTACAGGGAGACTCTCTCCAAAAAAAAAATAATAATAAAAATAAAATTTGTTTATAAAATAGTATATACACGCTGGGGACATAGCTCAATGTATGAAAGGGTTTGTTACACAAGCATGAGGACCAGAGTTTGGATCTCTAGCAATCATGTAAATGCCAATTGGGCATTTACATTGCTGCACTCCCAGCACTCTAGAGGTAGAGACAGAGCATCTCTGAGGCAAGCTGGCAAGCTATAGTAGCCAAATCTGTGAACTCCCAAGTTTAGGGAGAGACCTTGCCTCAATAAAGTCAAATGCCAATGAAAATTAAGAGTTAAAAACTACAGGCAGCCAGGTGTGGTGGCGCACTTCTTTAATCCCAGCACTAGGAAGGCAGAGGCTGGAGGATCTCTGTGAGCTCAAGGCGAGTTGGGTCTACATAGTGAGTCCTAGGCCAGCTGGGGCTACAGGGAGACCCTGTATTCCTGACAGGCAGGAATACATATGAATCTTTAAGGAAAACACTGGCAAAGGAAGCTAGACACAAAAGAACACACACTGTGCTCCCTTTTATACTGTTTAAAATTAGATAAAAGTAATCTATGATGTTAGATGAAGCAGTTATGGAAATTATTAGAAAGAGCTACAAAGATGTCTTCTGGGATACTGATAATTTTTAAAAATATTTTATTTATTATTTTTATTTTGTGTGTATGAGTGTATTTCCTGCATGTATGTGAGTGCACCCATGTTGTGCAATGCTACAGAGGTCAGAAGAGGGCTTCAGATTCCCCTAGAACTAGAGTTAAGGATGGTTCGTAGTCACCATGTGGGTGCTGGGAATGAACCTGGGTCCTCTGCAAGAGTGGTCAGTGTTCTTAACTGCTGAGCCATCTCTCCAGTTCCAGGATACTGATAATTTTTTTCTGCTGCTTTTTTTTCCTTTCCCTACATGATGATTTATATCTGTGTATTAACTCTGTTGCAATTCATCAATCTATTCATCTATGGTCTATACATTTTATAAAGTTCAATTAAAGTTAATTTACGATCATATTATTGGGAGTATAGAAGTTGTCTAACAGACTTGGTTGTAAACACAAAGAGGCTACCTATAGGAATCAAGAAATCAAATAACGTAGCTTCATTTGATTTTCAAGAAAAAATAAAGCCTGGAAAAGATCTGCTTCAAATACCGAAATGTTGATTCATGATAAAGAATCTCTAGCCTCCTAATCACCCTCTGCCCTCAAGCTGACCTGAACTATGTATCTGCAGAATATGGCCTAACTGCAGAAGACTGAAAGCCATGGCAGTCATTTGTCACAAATGTGTGAGCAAATAAAGAAAATATTGAAAAATGTCAATGACAGAATTGTGTCTGATAGATGAAAAATGTTCACTATAAACCAAAGATAAAGCACACTTCCTGTGGGCACCAATAAGCCTTGTTAAATGTAATTTTTAAGACACAGTATTTAGATATAAGCTGCTATATGTCTTTTTTCCTCAATCTTCCATTATTCATCTTGAATCTCTAGGACTTATAGTGCCTAAAATATAGAATACATTTAAGAAATATTTTGGAATCTCTATAGCTTAGAACAAGGCACTGCTATTGGACACTTATCAGCCCAAAAAAAAAAAAAAAAAAAAAAAAAAAAGATCAAACAACAAAACCCAGCAAAGGATGTGACTAAATTCATGAGGAGCAGTGTGAAAGATATACTTCCACATTCAAGTCCCAGCTATGCATTCACTAGGTACATGATGCTGAGTAAGCCATAGTACCACTTTGTGTCTCCACTGGTTTTGAAAAGGAAGATAGAGTATCTATCTCATAGAGTTATGACAAATACAGGAAAACTAACACGTCTGACTTGAAATATTTACCAACATAAGCTAGCATCATTGCAGATCTAAAAGCAACTATCTGATCTAATTTTCAAACTTAAGTATAAGGAAGGAAAGGTCTACAAAGTTAAAGAAATATTGCCCAGTGCTGGCAAGTGATAGAGCTTAGATTGAATCGTAAATCTTAACACTCCATCATTTCTCTTCTGTCACTCAGTTATAGCTCCACCTAAGTAACAATGAAGATAATTAACAGTATGTGAAGACTTTGTTTTGTTTTGTTTGACACAGGGTCTCCCTAACCACACTGGAACTTGTTATGCACACCAGGCTGGACTTGAACTCAGAGATCAACTTGCCTCTGCCTCATGAGTGCTGAAATTAAAGGGTATGCCGCCATGCCCTGCCCAGGACTTTTCTTAAAACTTTAAAAGTTCTAAAAATAAACATATTCAGGCAGACTGTATCTGAACATACAGTAAACATGCATTAGTAATAATAGGTGTTGAAGTATTCCCTATGTAAATGCAATAAAGTTAACTTTCTTGGATGCCAAAAGAAAAGCACAATCCTAAAAACCAGAGAGTACTAATAATTTTTTAAGTACTTTATTTATTATTTTTTAAATATTTTATTATTTTCTGTGTATAGGTATATTGCCTACGTGTACGTGAGTGCACCCACATTGTGCAATGCCGAGGAGGTCAGAATAGGGCATCGGATTCCCCTGGAACTGGAGTTAAAGACAGTTCTTAGCCGCTATGTGGGTGCTGGGAATTGAACCAGGATCCTCTGCAAGAGCAGTCAGTGCTCTTAACCACCGAGGCAACTCTCCAGCCCCCAAAGCTGTTTTTTTTTTTTTTTTAAAAAAACCTTTAAAAAAATTTATTGAGAATTTCATACATGCATACAAGGTGTTTTGATCAAATCCATACCTACTCCCTCCCCTCCAACTCCTCCTGTATCTCCCCATCACTTTTTCTTGAACAACTTCGAGTACGCTTTCTTTTTATTTTTTTAATGGGGCTTTTTGCTACTCTAACATCTCCCCCTTCTTGGGAGTCTTTTAGATAGGCCCACTGAAGGGGTACCCCAATTTCCTTACCCTGCTTCCCTGTTCAGCATGAAAGAAGCCAGAGTGGTCTGCGTCCTAATTCCCTATTGGCAATTTGGGTAACCTCTTCAGAGGATGCTGTGATAAGAATAGGAGTTAGATGGCCTCCTATTAAAGGAGTGGTAGCACCCGCCTTTAATCCCAGCACTTGGGAGGCAGAGACAGGTGGATCTTTGTGAGTTGGAGGACAGCCTAGTCTACATAATGAATTCCAGGACAGCTGGGGCTACAAGGAGACCCTGTCTCAAAAAGAAAGGAGAAAAAAAAATAGGAGGTAGGAATTGGCTAGGCAGTTAGGGTAAAAAGACCCCAAAGAAAAGTAGCCAGTTTCTTGGCTAAATATCAAAATGTTCTTGGGCCTCTTAGCAACATACTCTGATCCAAAGGCCAAAAATACCTGAAGTATTTGGGAGCTCTTATGCCTAGTTTTTCATTTTTAATACTATATAAAAACAGAATAGCCAGGTGCAGTGGTATAAACCTCTAATCCCAGCTACATGGGAAGCTAAAGCAGAAAGGTCACTATCTGAGACCAACCTATGCAGCACACCAAGAGCCCATCTTCAAATAAATAAATAAAATAAACAGAATCTCACATATTTAAATTAACACTTACCTTCTCAAATTCAATAAATGCGTAACAGAGGGATTCTCTTGTTTTCAAATCCCGAATAACTTCACAACTGGAAAAAAATTTGAAAAGTCACTTTAAAAAACAAACATTCACTTTCATTCTTCAGAACAGAGCAAAGTAAACCAGTTATTAAAGAGCAAAGTTAAACTCACAGAACTCTATTTTTCCACATTCTTTCAACAATTCTTTTAAAGAAAAACAAAAACAAAAAAACATAGTGGACTGGAAAGATGACTCCATGGTTAAGAGCACTGGCTGCTCTTACAGAAAACCCAGGTTCAGTTCCCAGCACCCACATGGTGGCTAACAACTGTCCTTAACTATAGTTCCAGGGGATCTGAAACCCTCTTCTGACCTCCTTCCGCATGTATATACATGCAGGGATTACACTCATACACGTAAAATAAAAATAATAATTAATAAACCATATTATCTAAATTCTACTCTAAATGCACTAGCTAGGTTCACATTCTTCAGTTCCCAAAGTACTGAAAAAAACATAAAATACAACTTTCTTTTAACAAAAATAAACTGCTAATTTTTCATTTTAAAATTATTTTTTGTTTTTATGTATTTATTTTTTCTGAGACAAGATCTTATGTATCCCTGACTGCCCTGGTATTCACGACAAAGCCCAGGGTAATCTCAAACTCACAGCACTCTTTCTGTCTCAACATCTATGTGCTAAGATTACAGCTATATACTATTACTGCCAGCAAAACTTTTAAATCATAATGTATTTTTGATTCAAATAGAAAATAGTTATAGAATACTTTTATTTTAGAATAAAATATGTGCATTTTTATATGTATGAGTGTTTAGTATGCTTATGCTTTGGAATTTTAATGTAAATGAAGCTCAAATTTAATGCTGTAATATACAGTTATTACATGAAATGAACTTACCAAACAATAATCAAGGTAAAGAGCCAAGAAGGTAGAGTTGCGAGCATGTCTTGTCTCTTTCCCTATGTGTCATGTCATTTTATTTATTTGTTGTTTTTTTTTTTTTTTTGAGACAGGGTTGCCCTGTATTCTCAATTGGCCTGGAACTCACTGTGTAGACCAGGCTGGCCTTGATCTCACAGATATCCACCTGCCTCTTCTTCCAAAGTGCCAGAACTAAAGGTGTGCATCACCACACCTGGCCATACATATCATTTTAAAAACATGATAGGAAATCCTATCATAATAATGTTAATCAATGAGAAAATAGTCTCTCCCTTTCTCACAGAAATACTTGTTTATGCTGGGTGTGGTGATGTGGTGGAAGGCAGAGGCAGGCAGATCTCAGGAGTTCCAGGCCAGCTGGGGCTACAGGGAGACCCTGTCTCAAAAAGATCAAAAGAAAAGAAAAGGAAAAGAAATACTTGTTTACATATTTTTACATTAATAACATAGGGAAGGGGTCAGTAAGGTGGCTTCACAAGTAAAGGTGCTTGCCACAAAACCTCACAACCTAAGTTTAATTCCTGGGATCCACATGGTAGAGAAAATCGACTCCTGCAAAGTGTCCTTTGACCTCCAATATATGGCACACTCCAACCATGCTGTGGATTAAAGAAGGTTACTCTTAAAAAAAAAAAACTAAATAGATAAATAAAAAAAAAAGGCTAGTACTATTTTATTTTTTTTTAATAATAATGGGCAAGAGTGATGGTACAGCAGTTAAGAGCACCTGCTGCTCTTTCAAGGATTCAAGTTTGGTTTCCAGCTCACAACTGTATATTAAGTCTAGTTCCAAGGGAACCGATGCCCTCTTTTGGCCTTTGCAGGCACTTGCACACAAGTGGTACACACTCACACACACGTACACATAAATAAAAACATAGGGGGTGGAGAGAAGGCTCAGTAGTTAAGAGCAGTGGCTTTTCTTCCAGAAGACCTGGATTCAGTTCCAAGCATCCACGTAGCAGATAACAATTGTCTATAACTCCAGTTCCAGAGAACTGGATATCCCCTCTAGCCTCCATAGGTACTGCATTACATGGGTACACTTATATACATGTAGGCAAAACCTACATACATATAAAATAAATCAAAAAATTAAAAACAAATCTTTAAAATAAAAACTCAGCCAGGCATAGTAGCGCACACCTATAATTCCAGCACCTGGGAGGTACAAGCAGGCAGATTTATGTGAGATCAAGGCCAGCCTGGTCTATAATACTGAGTTCCCAGCTAGCTGGACTACAGGGAAATCTTGTCTCAAAAAAAATAAACAGATAAAAATAAAAACTCAACATTAAAATTTTAAATATAGAGAATAGCAAAAGAAAAAAATTTTAATTAGGGTATGTCCTGGATAGCTTTAGTGTCAACTTGACACACCTGGGTTGAAGGAGCCTCAACTGGGGAATTGCCTCTATTGAACTGGCCTGTGGCCATGTCGATGGGGCATCTTCTTGATTGTTGAGTGATGTGGGAGGGTCCAACCCACTGTGGGTGGTGCCATCCCTGGGCAGGTGGGCCTATGTTGCATAAGAAAGCAGGCTGAGCAGGGGCCAGGGGAACAGTGTTCCTCCATGGCCTGTGCTCCAGCTCCTGCCTCCAGGTTCCTGCCCTGAGTTCCTACCTTGGGCTCTCTGATGAACTGTGACCCGGGAGATGTAAGATAAATAAACCCTTTTCTCCCCAAGTTGGTAGTGGTCAGTGTTTTGTCACAGCAATGAAGAAACAAACTAGGACAGGTGGTCTGAGGAGATGGCTGAGTTCATAGAGGGTTTATCTTGAATACATAAGTGAGTTTGAGCCCCAGAACTCACATTAAAAAGTAGAAGTGTAAAGCCAGGCATGGTGGCGCATGCCTGTAGTCCCAGCACTTGGGAGGCAGAGGCAGGCGGATCTCTGTGAGTTCAAGGCCAGCCTGGTCTACATAGTGAGGTCTAGGACAGCTGGGGCTAAAGGGAGACCCTGTCTTAAAAAAAAAAAAAAAAAAAAAAAAGTAGAAGTGTAAACTTTTAATCCCAGCACTGGGAAGGTGAAGACAGGTGGATCCCTGGAGCTTGATGGACATCCAGCCTAACATACTTGATGACTACCAGGCCAATAAGAGACACTGTCTCAAAAACAGGTAGACAGTGACTAAGGAATGATACCAAAGTTGTCCTCAGGCCTCTATACAGTCATACACACAAATTTATATATATAAATACATACATACCAATACAAACAATACTACAACAACAAAAAACAGTGAGGTGAGGGAATGTAAACCTCCCAGGCACTGGAATTAAAGGTGTGTGCTACCATGCCTGGCTGAGTTTTTATTTTAAAGCTCTCAGAAGACTGAAACAGGAGGACAAGAGGTTCAAGGCCAGAGTAGACTACAATAGCGAAATTATCTCAAAAGCCAAAAAAAGAAAAAATAAAGCCAACGTCACAGCGTAGTAGAGTTCTAAGTTCTTAGTAGAGTTCCTGCATGTTCCTAAGCATGCAGGAAACCCTAGGTTTAATCCCCAGCACTACATAAACTGGGTGTGGTGGCACACTATAATCCCATCACTCAGAAGGTGGAGGCAGGAAGATCAAAGCTCAGCCATCCTAGGCTACATGATACATTTTGCAATTTTGACAGACTGCTGATAATTTTAGGAGTTGATTAAATGAGATAAGATTTTTAAAATATGAAACAGGATTGTTAAGAATATTACAGAACTAAACAAATTGCTCTACTCATTTCCTGAAATGAGTGAAAATGTCTGTGTTGGGAGTTGGAGAATCACGCAAATACTTGTACATGTATGTAACAGACATTCTTCTTTCCTAGTCCCAACACTCATCTATAAAAATTACCAAAATTCACTCAAGTTGACAGACTCACCAAATATGTTATCAGAAAACCATCAATTAACATCTAGATAGTGTATAATTTCTCTTTCACTAATTCTGGGATTACCTTCTTATTGGCCCAAATCTTGAGAATATTATTTCCAGATCCTCATCTGTGGTCACTGGATTCAATTTACATACAAACAGCACATTTTCTGGAGGCTTAATATCTGCATCAGGTAGGTCTCCCACCTAGTTCATAAATAAGAACACAAATCAATTTCTTTAGTTTCCACTTTAAATATTTTATCCAGGCCCACAACACTAATTTCCATGAACTAACTAAGTTTATATCATAAACTTATAGGCTTCCGGGAGGGGGAGATTTAAGAAAATATTTCAAGGGGCTGGAGAGATAGCTCAGTAGTTAAGAACACTGACTGTTCTTGCAGAAGGCATGGGTTTGAATCCCAGCACCCACATGGCAGCTAACAACTGTCCATAACTCCAGTTTCAGGGGATCTGACAGCCCCTTCTTTCCTCCACAGGCATTGCACGACACTGGTGCACCTACCTATTGTGCAGGCAATACATGCATACACATAAAATAAAAATAATTAAAAAAAAATATTTCAAGAGCCAGCACAATGGTTCAGCAGGTAAAGGTGCTTACCAGCAACACTGAAGACCTGAGTTTGATCCTTGGAACTCACATGGTGGAAAGAAAGAAGGAACCTCCAAAATATGTCCTTTGACCCACATGTGCATTGTGGTGCACATGCGCGCACACACACACACACACACACACTACACAAATAAGTAAACAGAAGATGAAGCCTGTTAATTAATGGTGAGAATCAAAAGGATCACCTATTAAAAGGTCAAGCATTCAAAGCAGTAATAATATCAAACACTACCATGGGTGTGCAGACAAGAACTCTCATTTATTGCTGGCAGGAATGCAAAATGTGCAGCTATTTTGAAATAGTTTAGCAGTTTCTTACAAAGCTATTGCATATCATCCATCAAGTGCATGCCTATTTACTCCAACGTGTTAAAACATGTCTACACAAAAATCTGCACATAAATGTTTATGGCAGTCAGCAGGTAAGATGGCTCAGTGGGTAAAGCATGCTTGCCACCAAGCCTGACAACCTGAATTTGAGTCCCAGAACCCACATAGAAGCTGTCCTCTGACCTCCACATATGCTCCCATGCATAAACACACACACACACACACACACACACACACACACACACACTAAAATAAACATTCAAAAAAAAATGTTAATCTAGCTGGGACTGTAATCTACAGAACTTGGGAGGTAGAGGCAGAAGGAACAAAGTTTAAGACTAGCCTAACCTATGCAGAGAGTTCAAAGTTAGCCCAGTTTACATGACACCACGGTTCAAAAGACAAAACAAAACAAAAAAATGCTAATCTAGACAAACATGGTGGCTCATGCCTGTAATCTCGGAACATGGGAAGCTGAGAAAGGAGTAGCAGGAGTTCAAGGTTACAGCATTCTCATCCAGTTATGCAAAAGACTGACTTTCTTAGAGTATTTCTTAGTACTGGTTACTACCCTTAGATATATAATGTGCTCACTAAAGGGGATGTTTTTAATTTTTTAAAATTTTATTTATTTTATTTTATTTTAGTTTAGTTTAGTTTAGTTTATGTGTATGAGTGTATTTCCTGCATGTAGGTAAGTGTGCCAGTGTCCTGCAATACCCACGGAGGACAGAAGAGGCTATCCAGATCCCCTTGAACTGGAGTTATGGACAGTTTGTTAGCTGCCATGTGGGTGCTGGGATTCGAACCTGGATCCTCTGCAAGAACCACCAGTGTTCTTGACTGCTGAGCCATCTCCCCAGCCCCTAATCTTTTTTTTTTTTTTTTTTAAAAGACAGGGCCTCACTATGTAGACCTGTCTGGTCTGGAACTCATTATGTAGACCGTTGGCCTCAAACTCACAGAGAGCTGCTTGCCTCTGCCTATGCCTCCTGAATGCTGGGATAAAAGGTATGTGTTACCAAGCCTAGAGAGAGCACATATTTTTTTTTTTTTAATTTTATGTGTATGAGTATATTGCCTGCATGTATGTGAGTGCACCCATGTCATGCAATGCTGCAGAGGCCAGAGGAGGGCTTCGGATTCCCCTAGAACTGGAGTAAAGGATGGTTCTAGTCGCCATGTGAGTGCTGGGAATCGAACCCGGGTCCTCTGCAAGAGCAGTCAGTGCTCTTAACCACTGAGCCATCTCTCCAGCCCCGAGAGCACGTATTTTTAACTTGAGTTTATTTGACATTTTCTGAAACCATGGCATTTAATATTTGTTCATTTACACTGGTGATACTAATATAAATTTTATAATACACCACAAACTTGAAAGCTCTATTATAAAGAATACCAAAAGCATAATTACTATCCATTCCTTCAAACATTTTTTTTATTATTTAGTAGGTGTAGCTATTGTAATTTTATTCCATAAAAACACAAAATGAAAAAAATGTTTAATCAATTGTTTATCTACTGAATAATTATTCTCCAAAGATTTTTGCCCAGGTTTATTACCCTTCTTAATATTTGGAATTAAAAATTTTTTAAAATATATTTACTATTTTTATTTGATGTGTATGAGTGTTATGCTTGCATGTACGTAAGTACACCTGGGTTGTGCAATGCTTGTGGAGGACAGAAGAGGCTGTTGGATCCCCTAGAACTGGAGTTATAGACAGTTGTTAGCTGCCATGTGGGTGCTGGGATTCAAACCCGGGTCTTCTGCAAGAAGTCAGTGTTCTTAACCACTGAGCCATCCGTCCAGCCCCTAAAAATTATTAATATGTGTAAAATATAGAATTAAAGCAATCTTTAAAAATTAGATGATATTAAACTGAAATTCAATTAATATTTCTAAATTAAGACAATCTCACATTTTTTAAATTCCTTTTTTACATTTGTGGATCATGTATGTTTGTCAATGTGGGCATATGTGTGACAAGATGTGCATATAGAGGTCAGAGGACAATTTATGGGAGTCAGTTCTCTCCTATCACGTGGGTTCCAGTGATCCAACTTAGGTCATTAGGATTAGCAGTAAGCATCTTTACCAACATTTCACTAGACCAATCTCTCCCATTTTTAAAAAAAGGCACTTTAAGGAAAATAGAACCAAACTATTTTCATGCTAATCTGTCACATGAAGTTTAATTTAGAAAAAAGCCCACTAATTTTTCCTATTAAGACTATTACAAGAGCTAAAAGCAGATAAACTCACAAGAATATGTTAAATATGTTATGTAACAATTTGAACAAAGACACTTATCTTACCATCTCCAAAAGAATAGCTTGAGTTTTGGCTTCTTTTTCTGCCTTTATTTCTTCTACTTCTTCAGCTGATCTTCCTTTGAAGTCATCAATTTCTTCATCTGCTCCAATTCGACCACTCTGGAAGAGAGAAGTTACTTACATAAAGATTTAAATTTTAAAGCTCTGAGACACATGCAAGACATCCTATTTTATTCTTATTCTATCAAACATAACAGAATAACGGAAACAAATTTATAAATCTCTGGACACTGATTTAAAATTCTGTAATATTTGCCATAGTTGGCTTCTGATTGATGATAAAATCAAAATAAGTATTTTTATAGATATTACTACCCAACTAAGTGCTAAGTAGAGAGGAAAAATTATTTTTATTTATTTATTTATTTTTGGTCATTTTGAGACACGGTCTCCCTATAGCTCCAGCTGTCCTGGAACTCACTAAGTAGACCAGGCTGGCCTTGAACTCACAGAGATCC